TAACACTAATAACACTTTACTTCACTTTGTATAGATACCATCTTATGATCAGGAAGTACTGTATAACACTAATAACACTTCACTTTGTATAGATACCATCTTATGATCAGGAAATACTGTATAACACTAATAACACTTCACTTTGTATAGATACCATCTTATGATCAGGAAATACTGTATAACACTAATAACACTTTACTTCACTTTGTATAGATACCATCTTATGATCAGGAAATACTGTATAACACTAATAACACTTCACTTTGTATAGATACCATCTTATGATCAGGAAATACTGTATAACACTAATAACACTTTACTTCACTTCGTATAGATACCATCTTATGATCAGGAAGTACTGTATAACACTAATAACACTTTACTTCACTTTGTATAGATACCATCTTATGATCAGGAAGTACTGTATATTAAACACTAATAACACTTTTCTTCACTTCGTATAGATACCATCTTATGAATTTTTAGCAGAAAAGTTGCAGTTATACATGCAGATGTATAATGATACTGTCAGAGGTGCTCATATGGATTTAGTATTTTTCAAAGATGCTATGGTGCATCTTGTTAAGGTATGTTATTTAATAGAGCCAAGTTAATTTTATATTTCATGACTGCTAGCTTTTACATTATATAGCAGTATTTTAAGTGAGTTTGATAGTGATTGAGCCAAGTTGATAATGATTGAATCTGCTAGTGAAGTGATAGTTTTGAAATTTTGAGACTGAATAATATTGAGCGTGATAAATATTTTGTGTGTGTATGTTTGTTTGTCAACAATCAATAATAATAATAACTTTATTACACTACTAAAAACCTTCAGAGGGTTTTTGTATGGTAAGGAACATAAATACAAAAAAATACAAAAAAAAAAATCAAAAAAAATACAAAAGTGATAAAAATAAAATGTTAGTAAAATATAAGAAAAAAATAAATTAATTACTTTCTGTGGTTTTAAAAATTGTGCTCTTCAAATATTTTGCTAAGGCTATATTATTTTCCATAACCTATTTAAGTATGGAATTCACATCCATTGTGTAAATATTTATTGCACACTCATCAAACAGTTTTTTTCTTTGTTCTATATAGCCAGTACAAAATATCAGGAAATGTTTTTCATTTCCTAATGCTTCAGTGTTACATTTTTTACAATGTCTATTTTCTAATTCTATTTTGGGCTTTGTTCTTCTACCTAATTCTATTTCTAAGTTGTGGTCACTCAGACAGAATTTTGAAAGCATTAATACCCACTGTTGGAATCAGGAATTACCGGTATCTATCCTTATCGACCTTTGCTGTATTTGTGTTCAGTATTTTTTTTGAATGGCCTCATGTACTAATAAACCCAATGGATGACTTACTCAATATTATGATGTACTAGCTTTCTAATCTAGTAGCCCAGTCAGGCTTCTAAGAAAATTGTTGAAACGTTTCACGATTTCATGTATTTATAACTATTATTTCAGATATCTCGTATAATTCGCACGCCTCGTGGTAATGCTCTGTTAGTTGGTGTTGGTGGTTCTGGGAAACAGTCATTAACAAGATTAGCTTCTTTCATTGCTGGATATAAAATATTTCAAATCACTCTTACCAGGTTTGTGTTTTATCTTTATTTTCTGCATACAAATACAGTCCAAGCTGTTCCATTCGTAATGGGACTCATAGTGACGTATACATTGTGTACAAAATAGATTCAATGTTTGTTTAGATGTTGAGTGACAACCTCTGCTTGTTAGCTCCGCTGTCGAGCGGAGCTTATCATATGAGTGATTGTCCATCTGTCACACGCAACGTAATATTGCCGTAATTGGTATAGTACAGGTGTGATGGTTCAAATACCAAAATGGCAACAGTAACAGAAAGAACTCCCTGGCGGCGATGATAAAATACGAACACGGAGCCAACAGATGAGGTTTCAACTGGTACTGGAATTATTATACTCTGCAAACATCAAGTACAATAATGCGGTAAAACTCCACTACTCCAATGACTAGATACTTAAACTCCAATATAATTCAACAAGATCTCCGATCTGAACTCAGTGCTGAACAACTCCCCTATATATACCCCTACTGTCTATAAATAGACCATTACATCAGCATACATAATGAGTCTGGAACTTACTACAAATTTCTAGAATGTTCCATTACCTTCTATTGCCTCCTACAGTGTTCTATTACCTATTCAACCAGTTTCTAAAAATAATCTAGAATATTCCACCCAGACACAGTACGGTTCTAGAACATTCTCAGTGACACGGAAGTGGTAAATAAGTCGTATGCGACACCGTCTGTGTGAATGTTTTACTTTTTCGTCTTCTTCTTGAAAACTACAAGCCTGAAATGCTTTGATACTTGATACTCTTAGGTTTGTTCATTAGTCCCCGTTCGGACGCAGTCCGAAAACGGGGACTTATGTTTTGACCTCTGTGTGTCCGTGTGTGTGTGCGTGCGTGTGTGCGTGCGTCCGGACCTGTATCTTAGAAATGCCGTGACCAATCACAATCAAACTTCACACATACATCATACATGATAGTATACATATGCACGTCAATTTGTTTCACGATCTGATTCAAGATGACCGAATGGCGGCCATTTTTGTGCTAAAAATCATCAAAAACAAGCATTTCTCAGCTGTTAACAGATGGATTTTGTTCAAACTTGGTATATTCATTAGACATTATAGGACCTTGATGCACATCATTTTGTTTTACGATCTGATTCAAGATGGCCGAATGGCGGCCATTTTTGTGCTAAAAAATCATCAAAATCAAGCATTTCTCGACTGTTTACAGATGGATTTTGTTTAAACTTGGTATATACATTGGACATTATGGGACCTTGATGCAAATAATTTTGTTTTTCAGATAAAATTCAAAATGGCTGACTGGCGGCCATTTTGTTTTAATGAATGTGGTTCTCGTGCCATATCTTTGACTTGCTTTCACTGATTATGTTCAAATTTTAAATATTCGTTATACATCATGTCATAGATAGACAGATATATTGGTTTGACGATCCTATTCAAAATGAGCAAATGGTGGCCATTTTTGTGCTAAAAAATCATCAAATATCAAGCATTTATGGATGGATTTCGTTCAAACTTGGTACATATGTTAGACATTACAGGTTCCTGATGCACATCGTTTATTTTTCAGATCGGATTCAAAATGGCTATCTGGCGGCCATTTCGTTTTAATGATTGGGCTTCTAGAGCAATATCTCTTAAATGCTTTGACTGATTATATTCAAATTTTATATATTCGTTTTGCATCATGTTATATATATACATGTATTCAAAATGGCTGATTTTGAATGCTGTTCCAGAGCAATATCTCTCAATATGGACAAGTACTTTTTTGACGATCAGATACAAATGTCAATCATTTAATTGTTAATCATCATAATCATATTCCTGACATGGTTATATTCCAGCTATATTACTATAAACAAAACTATATATCTTAAATTTGATAACTGACGGGGACTGTGCCATGCATGGCTTGTTCCATGATGATATCTTCAATTCTTTTTGTCATTTTTGGTAAAAAGTGATATTTTCGACTTCTTGTTAAAAATCGCAAATCCAATTGCTTTGATATTACATATATAGGTACTACATGTGGACCTCTCTCAGATTTGTTCATTTTGTAATGATATCTTTAATTCTCTAATTTGCTTTGATACTATACATATTGTTCATTTTCTAATGATATCTTCTGTTCTTTAATTGAAATGTGCATTTCTAACAGCGGAGCTATCTCAGCCGAGAGACTGCTTGTTAATATTTAGCTTGCTTTGGAAAATACATTGTGTACCACAGTAGAGCCCAAAATATGAATAACACACAGTAGTGATAAATCAACTGAATACAAGAACATTGCAACCCATTGCGAAATTGGGTTTCAAAAGAAATGCATGAGAAAATTATTATGGTTATTGATGCTTTAAAGTTGATTCAATGTCTTAGAATTACATGTAAAATGAAGTTGGTATAATGATGTCATGGGTTGTCCAAAATTTTGTGGAATTTTGTGGCTCGCCTTTGGCAATGGTTTTTTGTCTTTATCCTATGCATATTAGTATTATAATATTTTGTTTTATTGACAGGTCATACAATATAAGTAATCTGATGGATGACCTGAAATTTTTGTATCGTGTGGCTGGTGCTGAAGGAAACGGAATCACCTTTGTCTTTACTGACAATGAAATCAAGGATGAAGCTTTCTTAGAATATCTAAACAATGTTCTCTCATCAGGAGAGGTCAGTCTTTTAGGCTTATGGAATTTGTTCCATATCTCTCAGTTTGCTGTTCATGCTATTTTCTCACAGGTTCATGGACCAATTTTGTCTAAACTTTTTTTATTTAAACATATTACAATACAATTTCCTGCAATTGTTACTTACTGGTTTATCAATTGGAATTTCCACTGATATTAAAAATAACTGAATGAGCATAATGAAATATAATGAACAAAAGATACTTGGAATACACGCTCCATGTGATAGTAGGCATACAGGTATTTTGAAGTCACTTTCTGCCATATTTACTGTTCTTACTTGTATTCTGTTATGTTTTCATAGCTGCTTGCACTTTTTCTTCTCACCACAATGGGAATACAAGCTTAGATCCAATCATACACAGTCGACTTCATTTTCTTGCTTTCAGATTCATCAATACATGAATGCTGACTTAAACTGGAATGATTGTTTGTAAACTATTCGTTTATAAAACAAAACTAAGAAATAGTTTCTAGCATTAGTGTACTAAATGAATATTATCTGCTGAATTAACAGTTAAAAAAAGTTTATATTGTTATCTTTTTGTTAGGTTTCAAATTTATTTGCACGTGATGAGTTGGATGAAATAACTCAAGAATTAATACCAGTTATGAAGAAAGAATTTCCAAGGCGACCTCCAACTCAAGATAATTTGTATGATTACTTTATTTCCAGAGCCACAAGTAATCTGCACACAGTACTTTGCTTTTCACCAGTAAGTTGAACACTTCTATTGTCTATAAAAGGCAAACATCTTCTTCACCCTTCATCTACTGTACCTGATTTCTCGATTGATCAAAATAAAAACATTTTTGCTATTCCTGAACTACATCTTAGGTGTATAGACAGATTCTGTTCGAAGCTGGTACATATGTTGAAGCACTTCATTTTGTTTTTCAGATCAGATTAAAATTAGCAGACTTGTGGCCATTCTGTTTTAATGAATGCTGTTCCCAAACTATATCTCTGACATACCCAGTTCAGATGTTATTTCTTAAACTTGATAACTCATGGCTACTAATCTAATGCAATTATTTGTACATGTAATTTTAGTTTACCGGTATTAGCAATTCTTGTATTAGGTAAAAATCTCCCTAGAATTTCCAAAACATTCAGTATTAAATTATTGGCATAGAAAGAATATTATTAGTATAAAACCATTGTCATTGCCAATATTTAAATATATTTGGTATGAATAGCTAAATATTCTTTGATGCGGAAATTATCACACTTCTTTAGAAAATGACTCAGCTCTGAAAATATACTTTTCACAAATCTATAATCTTGTTTTATAGGTTGGTGAAAAATTTCGTAATCGGTCTTTGAAATTTCCTGGCTTGATTTCTGGGTGTACAATGGATTGGTTCAGTAAATGGCCAAAAGACGCTTTAGTAGCCGTGTCCAACCATTTCCTGTCCAAGTTCCACATCACATGTCCTGATGAAACCAAGAAGCAAGTCATACAATCAATGGGTGTTTTCCATGATGGTGTTGCTGATACTTGCACTGAATATTTCCAAAGGTATGTTGAAGTAAAACTACAATACCTATTACTTTGTGCAATTTTTTTTTTTTTTTCAACCAAACTACCATACTCTGTTTTACTGTTAATTAGGAACTAATATTTGTTCTTGTGCAGGTACCACTTAATTGCTTGTTAGTCCTTGTTCGAACAAAGTTCGATGCACGTCATTGTCCATGCGGACTCCTATTTCAGAACCCTGTTCACCAAATCTGTTCATTCTTAGCATGTGTCTTGTACTTTATCTGGGACATATGCATATGCAGTGGTTTACTGATTCAATCTAATGACAGGCAATCATTTTGTTTTTCGAAAATGTAATTTTTTTCAAATTTAGTACATACATTTAGATTACATCTTCATGACAATTTGTTCTACAATCGGGTCAAAGATGGCTGACTGACAGCCATCATGCTTTTTGACTACACTACTATATCTCCAAGGCTTATGGACCATTTTCATTCACATTTGGCACATACATCATACATATAAGATTACATGTTTATGACAGTTTGTTCTGATCAAAGATGGCCAACTGGCATCCATCTTATTTTTTTTTAAATGTGGTATCGTATAAACTCAATCAATTTGTCCATGTAAAAATAAATATTTTTGGGGTGGTCCAATTTATTGAGTAAATATAAGTGGTCTATATTTTTTTCAATGTGTGTAAAACCATAAAATTCATTGGATTGTTATGAAATGCAAGTACAATTCAGCTTAGTTCATTGTAGGCGAATGTTTCAGGTCATATGCAAATGCTCGATGCGATACGATAGCTATCAGGTTTTCCCAGGAGTTGACCTGAACTGCTTTCTTTGACCTGATAGGCCAAGTCGCTAATTAACCAATCAGAATGTGTGATGGTGCCAACGTGATCAAATTACCATAACTCATTTGAATATCTTAATGACAGTTCAGTGACGAATGCAATACGGAAGAGATTTACCGATTGTGGTGGGAAAACGGCATGTTAATTTTTAAAATCAAGAAATTAGTCGTTTTTTGAACGATAAACTGAGCAGTTAAGAAGAATTTAACACTTTTTACGGTGATTAACAGCTCATTGTCGAAATGAAGTGTTACCCAATTCATGCTAGTCACAATAAACAATTATATTCTTGAATAGACGTCAGCGACTACTAAAAACTTAATAGGCATCAGAAATGATTGAAATATTCAAAAAATGACGCCTAAACTAGGGTAATTGAATAAATATAGCATTTTTCCTGAGAGTACTCAGTCTGACGTACGATATCAAAATGATTGGTCCCGGGATTCACACCTCTCGTAGTCTCATTTGCCACATTACTGGGACCATGCGCTTCTACTGAAATGGTTCCTATGGGAGTGCAGTCTTCACGGTCACATTTTTTTACCCAGTTAATTTAAAAATCCACTCGACTTTTTAAACAAACAATGTTGCAAGACTAGGTTTCAAACATTACTGAAACAACTGTGCTGAAATAATCCAGCAGATAATTTTATTTGGGTCACCCTCCCCCAAAAAAGACATTTTGACTTAACAAATTGCATGTCGAGTGTTGGCCTGATTATTGGACTTGATTTGTTGGATTTGGTTCAAATTTGATACAAACATTATGTGTGGTACATGTCCATGATGACCGACTGGCAGCCATCTCGTTTTCTTTCCAAAATGTATTGTTGACATGTTTTTTTTCTCTTCAAATTATACATGTTTATAGGATACATGTCCATGATTATTCGTTTTACAATCGAATCAAAGATGGTTGACTGCCTGCATTCTTGCCTTTTGACCATACTACTATATCTCTGTACATGAGCCTGGAGATAGGAAATTCAGTTTAGATACAAAAAATGCATGAATCCTGTTTTATTTCTGACCTTATATTTTGATTTTGGAAGGGTCATTTAATACATCTAATTTCTGATCAGTGGATTATTCACTCTCAATTACAAACTATGCTTTTGGTGCATATTACTTTATTTTTGGCATGAATAAAATTTTTCTTAATTCATTACCCCCGGTAACAATTATTTGTTATTAATAATATCTATGATGTATTTTGTTTTCTGTAGATATCGTCGCCAAACTCATGTGACTCCCAAGTCTTACTTGTCATTCATTGATGGTTATATGGTGATCTATAAACAGCAACATGACAACATCAATGAGTTGGCTAGACGTATGAATACTGGATTAGATAAATTGTTGGAAGCTACTCAATCAGTTAGTGAATTGGCTAAGGAACTAGTTGTTAAAGAAAAAGACTTGGCTGTGGCTTCTGTGAAAGCTGATAAGGTAATAATCTTTTTTTTTTTTTATACAAAACAAATAAGAGATGAACTATTTGAAATCCTACAATGTATAGCGACACATTTGGTTTTGCTTAAAATAAAGCTTCCTGCATGCGATTTGGTGAGTTGATTTCACCCCAAGATGCTGTAAACATACTTAATCTACAGAACTGCTTGGTGATAATCAGCTATGCTTTGTAGATTTTATTTATAGACTATTTTAACTGTTGCATTTTTATCTTGTCTGTATCATCATAGATGAATACCAAGGTCTTTGAAGGGAAAATGTCTGCTCGTTCTCGTTGTTGTTATTGTTGACTCCATCGTAAAACTTTATTTTTGTGGTTACAATATTTTTCAAACTTGGATATAGCATTAACCAGTCTGGAATCTCGGCCAAGTTTAAATTTCACTTAAAATTGTCTTTTTGGGGTAACAATAACTCTTTATAAGATCATTTATCAATCACAATGAAATGTTTCCCAAGTTCAGTTTTGGTGTGAGCAGCAAGTGTTGCTTATTTTTCTCAATCAATCATATTGACTGAGCCTGCTTTTAATTCTGTCATCAGCTAATATGTGTTTTTTTTACTAGCTAATTTTCAAGTCTTGGTAATTTTCACTGTTTATACTTTTATTTAGTTGTTGTTTATTTGAAATCTACTATTGTATTGTATGTGTAGTTTAATTTTAGTTTATTTTAAAAAGCTATAATACAGCAATTACCAAAACTGAAATGTCAGATTTCATTAAGGATGTAATAAAGCATTATTCTATTCTATTCTATTCTATTCTATATTGTATTAGCGCATCAATATTCTATATGGTTAATTGAATTTGTCACACCCTAATATATTATTATATATATTATTGCATTGTCTTATAACTGTTATACTCACTTTTGCCAAGCCAAAAAAAAAAAAGATAGTGCTTCTTTATTTTGTATTCTTCAATCCATTTGTTATTTAATCTAGATTCTCAATGGATAAGGCTGCAACTGTTACGATGTGTTATTACAAATAATATTACTTGATATTCCAAGGAACAATACAACTTTACGACCATATTCAGAATGAATTAAATATACAAATGTGATGTCTGTTCAGATGTACATGTCTCAAAATTAACTTCTATGCTACCAATTTGTAATAGTTGGTAGATCCATGGTAATACTCAGTAGTCAGGTTTAGTCACACCTTAGAATCATGCAAAAATGTTGCCCCAATGACATACTGCTTTATGTAGAAAACATAAATTTCCATACCTTGAGCTACTGCTGGTGCTGTCACTACTACTAATAGACGGCTGAGTGTACTGTTATTTTTTAAAACCACGCTGAAGATTAAATATCAGAAAATTTTGCTTCCTTCCCAAGGTGCTTGCTTTTTGTAATGATATTTCTGCTGATATGTTTATGTCATAGATGTCCTTTGGAACTGTGATATCCAAACACCTTTAGAATTCATTCATTTGTTCATTCATTCATTCATTCATTCATCCCGTTTATCATATTGTCATAATGTGTCTGTTCTTGTATTTGTTTCATTGGTGTCATTTATTGGATCTGTTGGCTCTTCAGTTAAAAAATAAAATATAATAAATACTTTTTCAGGTGTTG